GTCCCCCACCCCAATTTTATTTTGCATTTTAGACACTTCCATCTATAACATTTTCACAACACACATCTATGTAGGGCATTTTCTGGGGGGGGTGGGGGTCAATGGCACCCAGGGGGGGCTTATTTTATGGGCCTCACCACAGTTGGCTCCCCCCATCCCCTCTCGTATTTAGACACTGAGGGTTCTGGGATGTCGAATGGGGGGGTGTGCTGGCACAGCCTGTCTCCCGGAGGGGGGGTGGACTGTGCTGGACACCCCCTCTTGGTACTCCCAGTTTTAATTACATCTGAGAGCAACACGCAACAACACCACATCTGAGCAGGCGCAGGGAGGATCGGGGTCTTCTCACACCCCTGTTCCCCGGCCGCCACCCGGAGTCTGCGGCCTGGAGGAAGAGCGAGTCACCTGGTCTGTGGTCTTGGTGGGGGGGCGGCTGCGGGGCCTGGGTGGCCTGCCGGTGGCGGGGCTGTCGCTTCTGCTCTCCCCAAAGAGGGTTGTACCGAGGGGCGTGTAGTGGCTGATGGTGTTCTGGTCCGCGTGCGGAGTGGGGGGCCCCAGGTCAGTCTGGTGGAGGTTTATGTCAGGTTTTGGTGAGGACCAAAATGCAGAGGAAGGGAGGCAGAACTGAGTTTCTTTATGATTTAATGAAAAGTAAACAAACAACTGAGGCAAGAATCCAAAATCAAAATATGAAAACAAAGTAAAACAAACCAGAAACCATGGAAACATCAGGGGGGAAAACTAAAACGAGGAGGAAGACTCAGAGAGACGGAGTTGGAGGGAGTTAGACGTGGCAGCAGAGGGCAACAAATAAAAACCTGAAAACTAAAAAATAACCAGAAAACACAACAAAATAAGACTTAAACCACTAAAACCAGAAAACATGGAGCAAAGTAAAACTGAGGACTGAAAAGAAAACATAACAGAACAAAAACTGTGACATTTAGCGGTTCGGGGAGCGGCTGGGATGTAAAGCTAAAGGTATTTCCCCTGCAGCTCAAACTGTCAACCTGTCATTAAACAGGTAGTTAAACTGATGCTTGGAAATGTTACACCCCTGTAAAAATAGGAAAATAGAAATACAACACAGACATGATGTAGCTCAGTCAAATCCAATGTTGTATGGACGAACGAGAGCAAAACATGTGTTCACATTATTACAAATGTAATTTCTCTTTTACAACACATTGTCTGAACAATATTCCTAAACAGCCCTTTTATGGCGTTCTTCCCATATAAGCAAATACAATGGGACAAAAATGGCAACCACGTTTCATTAGATCCACCCCTTAGCATTACGTTAGCATGAAGCAGTTAGCATCATGTTCAGCCTACAAAGTGCAACGACAGTATTAATGAGTCAATGTTCACTCTCCGTATTACCGAAACAATATGAGTGCCTTCATAAACTTTTTAAACATAAAACAACCCTCACTCTTACCCAGAGGTGGAAAGTAATGGAATACATTTACTCAAGTTACTGTATTGAGCAGGTTTTTTGTGTATTTTGTATTTTTCAAGTAGTTTT